AGCTAAATTTTGAGCCAGCGTAACTCACGAAAAAGAGGGAAATCCCCACGTAACACCTGGCTGACACGCTTTTGGACTTGGATGCACCATTGCTGTCTGATAATTGCATCACTGGCTATGTCCACTGGACATAGAGCACAATGCGCAGGCTGAGTAATTGAGACACCTGCTGCCTCACGAGAAAAGGGACCTTAGCGACATCCTGACCGAATTTGTGGTTTTCCTTTGTTCTTGTTCCTCTTACCCATACAATTCGTATAAAACCAAATGGAGAAATGTCAACAATGGCCTGAGATGTGGTATTTTGAATTTTCAGATGATTTTCAGCAGCATCGCACAGTTTAGTGATTGGATAAAGAATGAGGAAAGAAGAATTGGACAGCTCCCATAATCATTTAGGTGACATTGTATCAGACATCTGCACATATCTAGTTCACAGTATATCCCTAGGGTGCATGTGATAATAAAGAATTACCAAAGTCAGCAATGTGAGCGACAAGTAATGTGGCATTAACACGCATGCACTCGCTATTGCAGACCAGTCGAGAGCACACATCATATGGAGGATTCATGGAGTGCTGGGCAACCGAATCTGGCATGTGATAATCATGTAGGATAGTCCACGCACGAGGTGCAGCCCATGAAATGGTCACCCATGAACTGGGCGGAGTGTGGACGGCCTGTATGATAGTGTGTAAGTATGTCCACGCACAAAGTGCAGCCCATGAGATGGGCGCCCATGAAATGGACGGAGTGTGGATGGCCCACGCATGAAGTGTAATGCCCGTTAGGAGGCAGGAGTGTGGGAGTATGAGTGTGATGGCCGAAGGCCGTGATAATTGCCAGATGAGAGGAGATAGCTGGCCCAGCACTCGTATTTATTTTCGTCTTGTATGAATTATGATGCCTGTGTTGAATCAAGGATATCAATATTATTCATAGATGGGAAGGGGTGGGTGGGTGAGAAAGGAACAAACCGGTGTTCTTCTCACGACCCAAGCAAAGCAAATATGAAGTAGCAATGTGGCCAGCGCGAAGTATGGTGTATGCGTTATGGGTTCAAGCTCCGATGTGTGCTGCAGCCGCATATGGCTGGTTGGCTGGCGAGTTCAGGTGAGTTCCGGCGTACGCATGTTACATGCCATCGCAGCGTGCATGTACGTGTTGCTTGACATGCATCAATGAATAGCGTGGGATCTGCGGGCTCTTTGGAAGCCGCTGGAGCGCGTGTGAAGTGGTGGCTTGTGCAATGTGTTAACCTACATTACCGCAAGCTCTAATGTGCTATTATCAATGCGAACCCAAGCATTTTCAGACTGCAAATGCATGGTACGAAATAGTGGTTGCGACTTCGGCGATGATTTTTTAGGAATGGGTTTGCTCCCACGCTGGAGCTCACGCTATTCCGCCGACTTGACTTGACACTTGACTCACTCGCGACTGCCATCCAGAGCACACGAGAAATCCATCGAACCTTCGACTCGGCAAACCTGCAAGAAAGCACCACTCCCTGCTCAATACACAGTGTTTCGGGGAATTCACCCCTCATCAGTTGAGCTTGAGTAGGCTGAGGAAGATTGTGCTTGAATAGCACCACTTATATACTGCTCTCCAGGCACAAACATCACCAGGGATACAAACTTACAGAGACGCTTTGTTTCCAGCGCGACAAACACCTCGTGAACACCAGATAGCAGCGTGAGTCAGTGTCGCTCCTGGACGGTGAGAACACGTAGAGGACCCTCGGTCATTCACAACGTTGTCACCTCCAAACCAGCTAGTCGCAAGCCCGCACTGGGCACAACAGTACGAAATAGTGGTTGCGACTTCGGCGATGATTTTTTAGGAATGGGTTTGCTCCCACGCTGGAGCTCGCGCTATTCCGCTGACTTGACTTGACACTTGACTGACCCACGACAAAAATGCATGGGACAACACAACACGGAGAACTGTTGCCAATAGAAGGAAATAACCAGAAATGCTGCCGAAGTGCTGTGCATTTATACTAGGGGTGAAACGAGTATCTATTTTCACCAATCAATCACTCGTTCATAATAATTCGATCGAGTATCCGATTATTTTGAGTATTTTATCAAAATTCAAAAGCGCTAGATTTATGAGTTCTCGACCAATTCGGAAGAAATTATCTGTCAACATAGAACTAAAGTCGCCAACGTCTTGTACAGAGTGTAAAGTAACGATTTTCATCAGTACTTTCGTATCTCAGGACGTTAACTAATGTTACTTGCCGTGGTGATCGCATCGTCCAAGTCATAAAATACTGACTCAAAGGCATGCGTTATGCATGCGCATATATGCACACAGTGAACGAGCGGTACAACAAAAGTTTTTGAAAAATAGAATGCCAATACTAAAAAAAAAAAAAAAAAAAAAAACCATCGAGTACAAAATTTCAAATACTCGTTCGTTTGAAAATTTTGAACGAATACTCGAATGAAGTTGGTTACTCCAACGAGGAGCACACGCTTCTTGCCGAACTTGACACTTGACTGACTCACGACTGCCATCCGGAGCACACCAGGAGCACGTCGCAACCTTCTGCTCGGCAAACCTGAAAGAAAGCACCACTCCCTGCTCGATACACAGTGTTTCGGGGAATTCACCCCTCATCAGTTGAGCTTGAGTAGGCTGAGGAAGATTGTGCCTAAAAAGCACCACTTATATACTGCTCTCCAGGCCAAACCATCACCAGGGATACAAACTTACAGAGACGCTTTGTTTCCAGCGCGACAAACACCTCGTGAAGCCCCAGGTAGCAGCGTGAGTCAGAGTCGCTCATGGAGTTGTGCTAAACAGACGTTGAGAGCCAGTATAGCTATTCACAACGATGTCACCTCCAACAACTAGTCGCACGTCCGCGTGAGGGACAACAATACGAACTTCCTGGGGCTTCACGAGGTGTTTGTCGCGCTGGAAACAAAGCGTCTCTGTAAGTTTGTATCCATGGTGATGGTTTGGCCTGGAGAGCAGTATATAAGTGGTGCTTTTCAGGCACAATCTTCCTCAGCCTACTCAAGCTCAACTGATGAGGGGTGAATTCCCCGAAACACTGTGTATTGAGCAGGGAGTGGTGCTTTCTTTCAGGTTTGCCGAGCAGAAGGTGCGACGTGCTCCTGGTGTGCTCCGGATGGCAGTCGTGAGTCAGTCAAGTGTCAAGTTCGGCAAGAAGCGTGTGCTCCTCGTTGGAGCAACCAACTTCATGACTATTACCGCCGAAGTCGCAACTTCTAAGTTCGAATACTCGAATATTCGAACTAATCGTCTTACCCCTAATTTATACACATACGAAGTGGCCTGTCTTAGATCTTTCATAATACTCCCGATTTACTGATCAGAACTGGGTGGACTCAGGGACAAACGTGCGGATTTCCTTGTGCAAATACTCAATCCGCTCTTCCGTCATTCCACCTGGAGGAATGGCTGGAGGGGGCCTAGCTGCCTTCAGTTCTTCCACTGGTGTTTTGAGGATCATGACCTCCACAAAATCCCCTGCAACGCGACGTTTCACTGCAAAGATGGCCTGAAGCACAAAGTGGTGTTGCGGGTTGACGGCAGGAACAGCACCGGAGTACTGTTGAAAGAAGGTATCCCACGCGCGCCATGTCACTCCAGACCCTGGGATTGTCTGCGCTGTGTTGCACTCCGCACTAGCATTTACTACAGCCGTCAGTTGGCTCATGGTGAAACAGTCGGAGCTGCGGTGCTTTCACTTCAGCAGCCCAAATAGCCCATCGACGAGGCAGCGAGTGTGTCCAGTGACCATAAACAATAACGATATTTTCTGGTGCAAGCCAACGATACAGCGCCATGCAAGGTAAGAGATCACTGTGCGATGTTTTGTTCTGACCTGCACAGTTGTCCGCATGCAAGACACACTCACTCTCTCTCAAGTCATTGGCATCCAGGTAGTGATGGAGAAGAGAAACCACCGTATTGGGGTTGTCGCCCTTCTTTCCATCTGAGCCAATCGTGTCCGCTTCATCCAGCAGATAGTTCACCTGCCTGGGAATGGCTTCGCAGCAGATCCCAAACAACTGGACTTTTCTTGGCGTCTTGAAATAGAGCGGACCCTCTTGCCGTGCTGTGTTCGGCAGAAATACGTTCTGTGCAAAGTCGAACGTATAATAGACTTTGTGCAGAATATTGTCAGTGCCGACTGGTGCTGACTGTGCTGCCGTCAATTCAGCCTTAGCATCTACCGTTGCTGCTCGGTAGAAATCCCTGTCTGTCTGGGCATCTGCAATATGGTCTGACAACTGCTTGCTAGTGGAAAGCTTCTGCTCTTCTCCAACAGCTTCAGTCACTTTCCGGCGAAGCCGTTCACAAACTGAACACACATCAGTTCCCGGCGACATTATCTTGATGTGTCCGTGGCATTTCTGCCAGATGTCACGGAAGACTGTTATCCCACCAGAGCGAACATCAGCTGACACACGCGCCTTGACGTAGCTGGCATGTATACCCCTGTACGTTTGATGCGCTGGCAAGAACACGGTCGGCAGCTCATCACGACCATGGAGAGGTGCCGGGTGTGGTATGCCAAAGTTTACGGCATGCGCTTTTATAAATTCCACACACCTCGTCACATCACTATGGTGAAGACCATGATGTGGTCGCTTCTTGGTGTTGCCGTGAACACAATCCATGCTGCTCCCAATGCTTCTTTACGTTTTTCATCCGCTTTACACCAATGTCGTACATGTGGCGGAAGGCAGTAGTGAAACAGCCTACCCTGGAACGAATAGTCGTACTTTTGCCGTTTTCTCTTACCACCTTTGTCTGTCCTAACAGTGTTGTGTCTAGCGGCTTCTAGCAAAGCGAGAACAACAAGATCGCTGTTCTCAGCCATCTCCCTCATATTCAGAATACTGATTTGGACATCGTCCGGATTCATTTTTTTTTCAGGCAGTCCAAATCGCAGCATTCCACTCTGACTGCTTGGTTTGCTGGAGCGCCAGATGAAGTTTGCGCGGCAGAGCCGGCAGGAACGGCAGAGCCGGCAGGAACGGCAGAGCCGGCAGGAACGGCAGCAGAACTCTGCGCACTATCAGCTGTACTTGGGGGAATGTCCAACAACTCACAAGCAGCTACGCACGGGACACCTCTCAATCAAGAAAGTCACCATTTCCACTTTCGTCACCACTACACGGCAGCTCTGACGTTTCCTCCTCGCTGATCACGGAAACTTCATCGTCAGAACTGACAATAGCGGCCTCGGGCTCACCAAAGAACTCTTCATCTTCTTCGCGAAGAACAGTTACGAGAGCCTCGTCTACGGTAAACAAACGGTGGTCGTTCGCCATCGCCATTATGAAAATTTGAAGAAGAAAGTGCGTACTGCACAATGCGTAGTTGTACTTGAACAGCGCAAACTAAACGCGAGCGATCTCCGCTCAACCGTGACTGATCCACGTCAGGTAAGGATCGAAACCCAGCTGGATTCACGTAGAATCCGCTGAGTCCAGGTAGGCTAGCCTGGCGCTTATTTATTCCATGCATGAAAGCATGGAAGCCAAGCATTTTGGGCAGAGTTACAAAATCGACGTCCCAAACTTCAAACGCGTTTTCTCAGTTTTCTTATGTCGCTAATATCCCTTTTCTCGTGTGGTCACTACGCTGGTGTGATCATCGGCCCCAGTGGCATTCCCCTTTTCAGCGTTATAGCCATTGCTATTGTATTGTGCACATTGCCCCATGGAGCTCGCTGGCTTTTGTTCTTTGCTGTCTGAGTGTAGATTACTGGAATCGATGCTGAAACTGTTGATGACAACATCTATGACTGGAAAGTCACACTAAGCCAATTCCAAGAAGGATGGTAAGTCACTAGTGACACTTCAGCTTGTGCTTCCACAGGTGTCGTTGTATGCTGTGTCCTTTTTCATTGATGCACGGGATGTCAGGAAAAGCTATTATATGTATGTTTCTAGTTTTGTGTCATGTTTTGCTTCTCCTGTCTTGTATGGCTCAGTCCCATATCTCAAGACCTGAAACATCTTCAAGCATCTGGAGCCGGCTACGGTCACATCGAGGTCCGACTGGTTAGTTTCTCCTTGCACTCTTTTAGGGGCGCAACGAATTGTTCTGTGCCATTCTTAGCTGACCATGAAACTTGTCAGGTTTCAGAGCAGTGCACGCAGAACATGTAGGAGAACATCCCACTGTGCATATTCTGCTTGCATGGGCTGTTCATATAATTATTGGGCTGTCAGTCCCTGACAAGATGAAGTAGAGAGGGTCATTCATCAGCACTAAGCTGTGAAATCCTCCTAAGGTTCATCGCTGAGTTTGCAACAGTCCACAAAATCCCTGTAATTATACTGCATGCGGCATGTGGGCCTGGAATACAGCACAAGTTAACTCCAAGTCCACCAAGTCGCCTTCCGAGTCCTTCCAGGATAGTGTTGGTTGCGCACAGTTCAGTAGGAAGTCGGATGCTGCGGGATTGCGTCGCTCCATCATCTGGCTTTACTGCACTACATCATTGGAACATTGAGTCTAGTGAGGGCTAATGACACACTTGGTGTCTGCATGATTGGTGGGGTGTGAGCACAGCAGCTGGAATACACTGCTGTACAGACAACCATCAAGAAGCTTGGCATAGCTGTTTCACTTCATCAGTTGCCTTTTGTGTGTGTGTGCGTGCTTGCGTGCATGTGTGTGTGTGTGTGTGTGTGTGTGTGTGTGTGTGTGTGTGTGTGTGTGTGTGTGTGTGTGTGTGTGTGTGTGTGTGTGTGTGTGTGTGTGTGTGTGTGTGTGTGTGTGTGTGTGTGTGTGTGTGTGTGTGTGTGTGTGTGTGTGTGTGTGTGTGTGTGTGTGTGTGTGTGTGTGTGTGTGTGTGTGTGTGTGTGTGTGTGTGTGTGTGTGTGTGTGTGTGTGTGTGTGTGTGTGTGTGTGTGTGTGTGTGTGTGTGTGTGTGTGTGTGTGTGTGTGTGTGTGTGTGTGTGTGTGTGTGTGTGTGTGTGTGTGTGTGTGTGTGTGTGTGTGTGTGTGTGTGTGTGTGTGTGTGTGTGTGTGTGTGTGTGTGTGTGTGTGTGTGTGTGTGTGTGTGTGTGTGTGTGTGTGTGTGTGTGTGTGTGTGTGTGTGTGTGTGTGTGTGTGTGTGTGTGTGTGTGTGTGTGTGTGTGTGTGTGTGTGTGTGTGTGTGTGTGTGTGTGTGTGTGTGTGTGTGTGTGTGTGTGTGTGTGTGTGTGTGTGTGTGTGTGTGTGTGTGTGTGTGTGTGTGTGTGTGTGTGTGTGTGTGTGTGTGTGTGTGTGTGTGTGTGTGTGTGTGTGTGTGTGTGTGTGTGTGTGTGTGTGTGTGTGTGTGTGTGTAATGAAAAATAGGGATTCACTGGCCAGAAATAGTCACTTCAAACAGCTGTGTGGTGGATACCAGGCTAAAAATAGTGGCGGTCAATTCATCAGCCTTGCAAGCTGTTGAATGGTGTAATCCCAGCACAAGTTGCTATGTCTAACATAGCTGTTCGCTATCATCGCTTCCGCGATGGGCATGTCTGAGGTCTGAGGTCTGAGGTGTGTGTGTGTGTGTGTGTGTGTGTGTGTGTGTGTGTGCGTGCATGCGTGTGTGTGCGTGCGTGCTTGCGTACATGCGTGTGTGTGTGTGTGTGTGTGTGTGTGTGTGTGTGTGTGTGTGTGTGTGTGTGTGTAGGTTTTCATGCCTGAAATGTACCCATGCTGTCCACCTTCCATGGCTATTGTACGCCCTCGACTATTGGTAAGTATGCAGGGATTTTCTCTGCACAAGCAGTAGCAGTAGCAATAATGTGATTACCGTACAGTTAGGGTTAAAACATATTGAAGGCCACAAGGCAGTACACTGTATGACAACTATTACTTTGAAGAAGTATAGCGTGGAAGCTGTGCATCAGGTGACTATTTTTCTCTTTCTTTTTGTTGGTTGATGTTATTATTATGGAGTTGGCTTTATTTCACTCACGTTGTCATGACATGAGGTAAGAACCCCATCACCGGGCCAAAAGAGACCAAGGGTAGTGAGAAAAAAATAAATAGATGGCCAACGCAATGAACATTCTTGGTTGGAGGAAAGAAAATCAGCACACGAAGCACAGAAGCCATATAGTTTCGACTAGGTCTTTCGTACCATTACTTTTCCAGTCGAATACAATAGTGATTAACACCGCAGCAAGCATATCCTTATCCTTGTAATATTCATTGTTTCGCTATGTAGTTGGCGTCACTAGCGCTATCTTTTAAAGTGCTATTTGGTCAATGCTCTGACCGCCAAATATGTAGTTGGTGCCACTACCTCCATCTTTTAAAGTGCTTTTTTGTCAATGCTCTGACCGCCAAAGTGCCGGTGATAAGGACATGCTTGCTACCTTGTTAATCACCAATGTATTCGACTTGAAAAGTAATGGTTCGAAAGGCCTGGTCGAAACTATATGGCTTCTGTGCTTCATGTGCTGATTATTATTATTATTCACACATATCCGCTGGGTGAGTACGCGTGGCCCATGCAACATAGTGACCCACAAATACAAACCAGCATAATTATGTCCCCTCTGCAATACAAGCAAGCAAGCAAAGAGAAATGAGAGCCCAGGCAGCGAAAACGAAACGAAAAGAGATGAGGACATAGGCAACGAAAACAGTCCCAAAGCGTAGCCAGGGATTGTATGTGTGCATACGGCTGCGACAGTTAATACGGCTAGTGCAGCTGCTGCTGTGGAATTTTTGTATTTTTGTGCTGCTTTGCTGTCCACGGCTGCTTGATATTACCACGTTAATTAACAGCCTTTAGGACTTGTATACTTGTTTTTGGGGACATGTACTCAATAAGGAGGATGTGTTTGTTTCTCATTCTTCTGTCTTCTGGCAGGGATCTGCAGCTATACAGACGGAAAACTTGCCAGGTCTGGCATTTGAGAATTGGTTAGTCTTGGCAACAGCTATATCCTCACGTGTGTGCGTATAGACATTATCTTCACCTTTGTGCAAATAGCAATATCCTCACACGTGTGCGTTAAGCCATATCCTCGCACGTGTGCGTTTAGCCATATCTCACCTGTGTGCATATAGACATATCCTCACCTTTGTACGTATAGCTCACGCTATCCATATTAGTTTTCCAGCTTCACATGGTAACACGGGCAGCTACCCATTATCTCACCCCCAGTCTTCATCCGGCATATTGATATGAACACCGTGAAGGAGAACAGGAGTCGCACTGCGAGTGAAACTTGCAAAAAAACTATGTTTGGTGGTATGTGCATGCGCTGCAGATGGCTAGGGGCACGCATGAGTTGACATCGAGAGGATCTTTGCATCAGTAGGAACATGTGCATGCCACTTGGATTGACCTGTGAACATGCCATCTCAATTTCATATGAGCAGCTACCGTTGAACAATGTGAATAGGGCTTTATTCGAGAGTGACCTTATTGTTTTTTCCCAGGGTCACCCCAGGGACTTTAGTTTCACTTCAGCATGAGCATTTCACCGCAGCATAACAGAGTGCCACAATCACCAGCACAACGCACTCAAGCAAACTTTGTGAACGGCTCTTCTTCAATCAATTATATACTCATATTTCTCCTGCTCTGGATCCCGCGCAATCTGGGTTTCGTTGTGGCGACTCGACCGCTCTACAGCTCACCAAGCTGATCCAAGAAAACACAACTATAGTCCATTTCAAAAACATTGACAATCCTGGCGATCGCCCACAGAGTTTGCCGTCTTACCATATGTGGTGCCTGGAAAAACTCGCTGTGAACTCGAAGAAATATTCCGCGCGAAAGAATGGAAAACTGTGACAACTCACGCACGCAGGTACATGTACGTCTGGTTTACAACAACCAAACTTCTTGCTCGTATCGGAATCATAGAGAGGACAAGTCGAAACTGTGGTAAATGTTGAGGCGTGGCATGAGTCCCGATTTGTTTTGTGACCAAATAGTTCCTTTGACCTGCGTCCCTGCGATGGAATTTATTCTCACGTGTGACGAAAACAGCATGGACACGAACTCATTCTCCAGGCCATGACTTGGCAAAGCCATCAATCCGTGTGACTTCGGCGACATTTTGAGAAAAGCAGACGCCTGTGGTAGCTGATAGAAGACGTCGCCGACTCCTCAATTCAAATATTGACGATCGTGAAGATACTAAAATAATTCTCAACAAGAAGTCGATCGATCGATGTGCCTGTATATTCAACACGTAGCTACAGCACAATGACTTCTACTCACTCGCACCGTTTCAGTGTTGTGTGTATGTTCACATGACGTGAGCTAGTCAAGTGTCAGTCAGTCGGCAGGAAGCGCGAACTCCAACAACAACATTCAACAAGTCGTTTGGGGCAGCCACCTTCTTTGACTTGGCTCACCAAAATAACGAAGAAAAAAGGTTGAGTTGAAGATAGGTCGGGATTTGAGCCCACAACTTCATGGTCAGCAGACAGCATTCATAACCACAAGGCCAAAAAGGCAAAGATAAATCATGGTTTTTTTTATGAATATCGCTACTGGTTTCCTGGGCAAAGTCTAAACCAAGGGAAAAGGCCAGAAACCTGGCCGAAATCCCTAACTCCTCAACGGTTGGTCCAATTGTTCCGAAACCTTCACAGAACAATTTGCCATGCCCTAACTAGCACTTCCATGTACTTTGTTTTCCGATTTTCCCTTATCTTCATACTTTTTGAGACCAAAACCTGATTGTCAATGTTTTTGAAATGGACTGTAGGACCGACTTTGTTGTTGTTGTTGTTGTTGTTGTTGTTGTTGTTGTTGTTGTTGTTGTTGTTGTTGTTGTTGTTGTTGTTGTTGTTGTTGTTGTTGTTGTTGTTGTTGTTGTTGTTGTTGTTGTTGTTGTTGTTGTTGTTGTTGTTGTTGTTGTTTGTTTGTTTGTTTGTTTGTGTATTACAGGGTGCGACAGAGCTTTGTTTGTTTGCCTAATTACATGATATCGACTAAAAGAAGAATAAAGTATAAAAGGCCAGTAAAGGAAATGATAATAAAGCGAGCAGTGGCGCACAGGGAAACATCTGATGTGATGTAATCTACATTAACATCCCACTGCACGCACAGACATTGAAGACAAGGTTTGGGCTAGACTGGAACTCACGCGGGGGAAATGGGGTTAGGCTTACACCCAGGCCACCACATGGTAGGAAGAATGTGGAGGGGGTCGCTAACAAGGTTAGGCTTACATCGCACTTCCACATGGTAGGACAGATGTGGAAGTAGGCTGCTAACGGGGTTACGCTTACACCCGGACATCTGCATGGTAGGACGAATGCAGAGGGGCTGGTAACCTGGAGTTGGGTGTCAGCTCAAAGGCTTACGGGGTGCTTTGCAGCCACCCACTCCATGTGAATGCCACCCTTTCCGTGAGTTCCTTATTTATTTGTGACTCGGATAGTATGTAGTAATGAGTACTGTGATACTAGTACCACGCCAAATTGGGTGGGTTGGGATGGGGAAAATTTGGCAAAGAGCTAGTGTTGGAGCAAACAGCAAGTGAGAGTGGTAAGCAACAACAGGAACAAGAACACGAGTGCATGCACATATGGGATCAGATGCGCTGGTAGGTTCAGCTGCCGACAGAGCTAGAGGGGGAACACGCTCCCGCGTGGCGCGAACCGTGCCCGTGTCACGTGCACAGCGGTGTGCGTGCGCAGCTCAACGATAGCGCTACGGGTAGATGTGGAATGCAGTGTGAAGTAGCGGCGTCGCTACGGGTAAATATGGAGTGCCACGTGCAGTAAACGCAGGCGGGCACGCGCTGAGAGAGCGTTACGTGCGTGTTAACTACAGTTAATACTATGTATAAACTGAGATTTAAAAACTGAAAACAATTTCCCAAAGACCTCAGCGACTGATAGCACCATTCGGCAGGGCTACTTGAAAGCAGCAGGAGGGATCGCATAAATCGGGGGTACTGTGGGATCTTCCTGATGTCACGCTGGAGCCTGTTTCACAGTGACACACATTGGAATGAGTTGGTTTCACTGCGCACACTCCATACATGGCATATTCGACGACCTCACTCGCATTATCCTCTGTATTCATTGCTGAAAATAAGTTTTGCTAAAACGCAGGGTTGCGAATTGCTCGCACTGAAGTACCGGTGCTGAAATGCTCGTGTGGAATTGGGAGATTACCTCAGATTACCTTCATGAAGGGGATATGATTGGAAAGAGGCCTGATATTCGAGAGGGGCTTCTAATCAAGTGAGCATGGTATACTTGTTATTTGTGTTTTGTTGTTGAGCAGGAAGCCGACTAGACCGTTGATGGATGTCCTAGTGGAAATGAAACGGCATATGCAGCGTTATGCACGGTAAGATTCCTGTTCTTGTGTGAGGATGGGCATCTTCGGCGGATGCTTCTCCTTCTGTTTCTCGTTACGTAGTGTGCTGGTGTGCTGGCTGATTGTGGAGAATATATTTACAGTGAGTATCGTTTATAAAGTGACCGGGTGTAACGATATGCCGGCTATAATGATAGAACTAGTCAAAATCAAAATCAAATCAGAAAAAAAATACTTTTCTCAAGGTTTGAGACTCCACTGTAGCCAATACTTGAATCCATACATCCTGTACAGACACCTTGTACACACTCTCTCTAACGGTCTCTAGGCTACACTGCAATTGATATGCCCGAAAATTTGAACTAATGTATATCAATTGCAGTGTAGCCTAGAGACCGTTAGAGAGAGTGTGTACAAGGTGTCTGTACAGGATGTATGGATTCAAGAAAAAAATACACCGAAAATATCACTATACACACCGATATATCGCTTATTGTGATGGGCTTCAGGAAGCAAACCATGTCAAATGTACAGGGAAATATCGTTATAATGATCAAGAGTGATGATCACAAAACAAGTGTTCTTCCAACGAGAGAGCCTGGAAGCTCAGGGCCCTACGCTATGCTTTTTTGCCTAGCTCATCGTACATGTTACTAGAACTGATGGAAATGTTTTTTTTTCCGTTGATTGGCTACATCATTGTATTGCAAAAACGTTTCAATCAGTTTTAATATGAGTTAGGCAAAAAAATTTGCAGAATTTATTGCGGATTGTTATTTTCTCTCACTTCATCCGCTTTTGGTTTGCTCCTTCTTTTCCTTTTTATCTCCTTATAATCGGATTTTCTGGCCTTTTTGCATTGACCTGTTGAGCCAATGAGGTAAAATTATATTCCATACAATACAATAATACAAAAATGTCCTTACCTTGATAGTGTTCTTGTGCTTTTAACTGTTGCTAGCGGCCGAATGCATGGTTGCCTGTGGAGCACATTACATAACTTTACAGTCTCCTGTAATACGCATCCTGTCCGATGGCAAAAGAGGCTGCAGATTTAGTTTTTCTGCACGTTATCAGCAATGACTACTGGTCTTCAGCAACTTGGGTCTCCTGTAACACGCATCCTGTCTATGCTTTCGTAATGCTAACATAATGCTCGGGATAGCACTCGCTACTGATATATTAAGTGGTCGTTGGTTGCTCCGACAATTTCATCGTACTGTTGTACGACATGCTATACGACATCCTTCTACCGTACAACACCGTATCGATGTCTGGCGCTAGCTCTGTCGCCTTGTGTATTTACGGTAATAGGGACAAGTACGGGATAGCGCCAGTCGGAGGTCCGTCTGCCACAGAGCTAGCGCCAGACATGAAATTGTCGGAGCAACCAACGACCACTTAATATATCAGTAGCGAGTGCTATCCCGAGCATTGTGTTAGCATTACGAAAGCATAAACAGAACGCGTGTTACAGGAGACCCAAGTTGCTGAAGACCAGTAGTCATTGCTGATAACGTGCAGAAAAACTAAATCTGCAGCCTCTTTTGCCGTTGGACAGGATGCGTATTACAGGAGACTGTAAAGTTATGTAATGTGCTCCACAGGCAACCATGCATTCGGCCGCCAGCAACAGTTAAAAGCACAAGAACACTATCAAGGTAAGGACATTTTTTGTATTATTGTATTGTATCGCGATATCGTATTGTATGGAATATAATTTTACCTCATTGGCTCAACAGGTCAATGTAAAAAGGCCAGAAAATCCGATTATAAGGAAAAAAGGAAAAGAAGGAGCAAACCAAAAGCGGATGAAGTGAGAGAAAAATAACAATCCGCAATAAATTCTGCGAATACATTTGCCTAACTCATATTCAAACTGATTGAAACGTTTTTGCAATACAATGATGTAGCCAATCAACGGAAAAAAACATTTCCATCAAATCTAGTAACATGTACGATGAGCTAGGCAAAAATGTCCTGATGTCTGTCCTGACGTTTCCTGTGACCGGCGCTGACTCTGCCGATCACGGGCGTTCTGGACTCAACGGGATCTCTCTTCCGACGTTTCCTGTGACCGGCGCTGAATCGCCCGTTCACGCTTATTTTGGAGTCGACGAGATGTCTGTCCTGACGTTTGCTGTGACCGGCGCTGACTCTGCCGATCACGGGCGTTCTGGACTCGACGGGATCACTCTTCCGACGTTTCCTGTGACCGGCGCTGAATCGCCCGTTCACGCTTATTTTGGAGACGACGGGATCTCTCTTCCAAAGGATCTCTCTTCCAAAGTATGTTTTTGCTAACGTATCCTATCACCTATTCCGCAACTAGCGTCCATTCTAATTTTATTTCCTCCTCATCTCCCTATTAATTTTCTTTCCAAATCTCCCTCTACATCAGGGAGTCGTATACATAATACGACGAATATTGTGGCCAGCTGTTTGTGGCCAGCTGTTATGTACAATCCTGTAGAACCTTTGTAGTCACAGATACGGGACAGATACGGTAGCTCCAGGCGTGACACAAACACACAAACAAACACCAAATCATAGATACGGGACAGATACGGTAGCTCCAGGCGTGACACAAACACACACACAAACAAACAAACACCAAATCACAGATACGGGACAGATACGGTAGCTCCAGGCGTGACACAAACACCAAATTAAAGCTGTGTGGACCCTGGCTAGCGCCAGACGTTACTGAAGGAACGTCTTCTGCATAGCTACGGGAATAAAGTTCACTTCTTCCAAAACTGATCCAGTGTTGCCTGGATGCACCTGGCAGCAGACGCGAGTGAGATAAAATTCTTCCCTGTATGCTGTAAGTAGCCACATGTACACGTGGCTACTTTTCATGCTTTTTCCAGCGTGTACGCATCATTTCATGCGCAGTCATGTGCCATGTGTCAGTCACACATGCAAATAGGCTATAGTGATGCACCGGATATAGTGATGTATTATCAAAAATCAAAAGGGCACGTTATATCCAGTATTTACTGTATCAGTATCGAGAGCTATCAGTAGCCACCACAGGCCTTTGTACGGGTACATGCATTTTTTTACACATCATCCACAGAGAAAATTGTGTTCTTCAAAACCCTTCAAGGCAGAGACTGTTAGGATGAAAATTTGAAATTGGGCTTGGAGATATAACTATTTTGTGGGTAAGCATAGCACACCTGCCTGAAAGTATAATTGAGTGAGGGCTCCTACGCTTCTCGTTGCTCAGCAACAGTGTGTAGCAAAAGCGATATTTTGCGGCAAATGGACAATATCAATTATTTTGCAGCTAAGGCCATGGTAAAAAATAAATTTGATTCTCAGGTCATGAGCCTGTGAAAATCGGTCCGAGCGAGCGATTTTTTATTTTATTTCCCACAGTTTTTTTTATTTCCAAAGATAGGGTCACACATATGTACATGGTCACGTGTTCATATATTCAGGCCAGGAAGTAGAAAAATACCGGTATTTTACTACTCCCTGATTCATGCATTTCGCATTGACCGTTTTATGCGCGCATATGCATGCATAGAAATAAATAAAAAACGTCAGTGCGCCGCCAAAAATCAAAAATCGGTGCGCGCGTACTTGAGAATCAAAGATAATTTTTACCATGGCCTAATGGACAATATCAATTATTTTGCAGCAAATGGACAATATCAATTATTTTGCAGCAAATGGACAATATCAATAATTATTATTTTGCAGCAAATGGACAATATCAATTAGAAATGTTTGGAATAGTTCATTGTATGAAATGCCTTTGATTGAATAATGTAGGTTGATATATATATACACCTAATAATAGGTGCCATATCACTACACTATATTCGGCCTTTTTTCTTTCTTTTCTTTTGCGGAGATATTTCCTGGAAGTTCAAGATTGTGAAGATTGAGTGAATGAAACTGAAATTATGATCCAAAGAACATGAAAAATACAAAACCATTTCACTGTGGCTTTTAAGGGTTAAGAATGACCAAGAGGATCCTCCCGTTTCTATTTGAGCCTCCAGCTCCGAAAGGGGGCTTAAGCAGTTTTGTGCAGTGTTGATAAAGGTTAATTTTTGCACAGTGATATCCTGGATTACGGCAATGTCATGGTACAGATCGCTAAATAATGTTCCGAAATAACATATATGCCCCCCCCCCCGGAATCTATAAAAATGGTGCGTTAGAAAATCCTCTCAGAGAAGTCCGAAAATCTGCGAAGAGTCGGAGTAGCTTGGATTGCTGAGTAGAGTGGATCAATGTACTTCTCATTTGCTCTGGACGGCAACCTTGAGTCCATCAAGTATCAAAACAAACCAGTAGGAAAAGCCTGAGTTCCCACGTGCGGAGAAGCCCGCAGTCCTAACCATGTGTGTTTGGAATTTTGGCTTTTGTAATTTGTATGTAATCTGTATGCCGTATGTCGTATTTGCAGTGTGGATTTGGAAGCCTCGAAGAATTCAGGCGGGGACTGCATATACTCAACACTGGAAAAACACTTGCTGCGCCTTTCAACCGTAAGCTTTATTTACTGGTTTCCACGGTGTATTCAGTCTGGCAGTGCATTCCACTCTTTACATGATAGCAGTGGCCAGTCGCTACTCTAGTGCTGGGACATGTTCATGAAGCTTTTCGTATGCCGAGAAAATACTGGATCATCAATTCATCAATAAAGAGAACAAATTCTGCTCTCATCGCCACACTACAACAAAGCAATGAAAGCTTTCCAAAATCGATTTTCCTGTCACATTCATCAGCTTTCATGACTTTGTTGTAGTGTGGCGATGACAGCAGAATTTGTTCTCTTTATTGCCTTTTTAAAATTGTTGTCTCCGCGTCGATTATTTGCATGAATTCATCATTCTAAGTTTGTAATGGAACCTCACATGGAACCTCACATGGAACCTCACATGGAACCTCACATGGAACCTCACATGGTCTGTTGATCATTTTAGTATGTAAGTACTGTAAAACCGGAAAGGCGAACGAGTCACAAAGTCTAACGTTTTAACGACTGATTAACACGCATGCACTCGCTATTGCAGACCAGTGGAGAGCACACATCATATGGAGGATTCATGGAGTGCTGGGCAACCGAATCTGGCATGTGATAATCATGTAGGATAGTCCACGCACGAGGTGCAGCCCATGAAATGGGCACCCATGAACTGGGCGGAGTGTGGACGGCCTGTATGATAGTGTGTATGTATGTCCACGCACAAAGTGCAGCCCATGAGATGGGCGCCCATGAAATGGACGGAGTGTGGACGGCCCACGCACACGAGGTGCAGCCCATGAAATGGGCACCCATGAACTGGGCGGAGTGTGGACGGCCTGTATGATAGTGTGCATGTATGTCCACGCACAAAGTGCAGCCCATGAGATGGGCGCCCATGAAATGGACGGAGTGTGGACGGCCCACGCACGAAGTGCAATGCCCGTTAGGAGGCAGGAGTGTGGGAGTATGTGTGATGGCCGAAGGCCGTGATAATTGCCAGATGAGAGGAGATAGCTGGCCCAGCACTCCTATTTATTTTCGTCTTGTATGAATTATGATACCTGTGTTGAATCAAGGATATCAATATTATTCATAGATGGGAAGAGGTGGGTGGGTGAGAAAGGAACAAACCGGTGTTCTTCTCACTACCCAAGCAAAGCAAATATGAAGTAGCAATACGGCCAGCGCGAAGTATGGTGTATGCGTTACGGGTTCAAGCTCCGATGTGTGCTGCAGCCGCATATGGCTGGTTGGCTGGCGAGTTCAGGTGAGTTCCGGCGTACGCATGTTACATGCCATCACAGCGTGCATGTACGTGTTACTTGACATGCATCAATGAATAGCGTGGGATCTGCGGGCTCTTTGGAAGCCGCTGGAGCGCGTGTGAAGTGGTGGCTTGTGCAATGTGTTAACCTACATTACCGCAAGCTCTAATGTGCTATTAACACGCATGCACTCGCTATTGCAGACCAGTGGAGAGCACACATCATATGGAGGATTCATGGAGTGCTGGGCAACCGAATCTGGCATGTGATAATCATGTAGGATAGTCCACGCACGAGGTGCAGCCCATGAAATGGGCACCCATGAACTGGGCGGAGTGTGGACGGCCTGTATGATAGTGTGTATGTATGTCCACGCACAAAGTGCAGCCCATGAGATGGGCGCCCATGAAATGGACGGAGTGTGGACGGCCCACGCACACGAGGTGCAGCCCATGAAATGGGCACCCATGAACTGGGCGGTGTGTGGACGGCCTGTATGATAGTGTGTATGTATGTCCACGCACAAAGTGCAGCCCATGAGATGGGCGCCCATGAAATGGACGGAGTGTGGACGGCCCACGCACGAAGTGCAATGCCCGTTAGGAGGCAGGAGTGTGGGAGTATGTGTGATGGCCGAAGGCCGTGATAATTGCCAGATGAGAGGAGATAGCTGTCCCATGGTTGCCCAGCCTCCATGCTAAGTTGTGACACATTGCAATGCACGTGAATGACACTGTTTTTGCTATCAGCGCAGTTTGTCAGCACAATCCTAGCAGAGCAAGTTGCTGTGCTGTTCCAAACAGTCAGCCGTGTGGGTACGTGCATGGGTGCGAGTTGCGTGCCCGCGTGGCGGGTTCTTACATACCTCCATGCGTTCTGTGATGCGCTTGTACCTCTGACAGCTTTTGGGTCAGCTGCCCCATGTCTGTGTCGGTTGTCCTGATGTAGCGCAAGACACTGTCGCTTCTCCATCGGCCCATTGCCCTGATTAGCCAGTCCGGGGCACCCGCCATGGCTGCAGTTGTGGCGGCACCGATGCGGAACGAATGACCAGCGTAGTCGGTGAATTGGGTGTTCCCGTGAGTGGGAGAAGCTGTCGGAGCTCTTCTGTCAGTGCCTGCCTGGTCAGCGGTCTCCCAGGGCGGTAGCGGAAGAGTGCGTCAGTGGCGTCAGACGGACAGCAGTGATCTAGCCAAAGCCGGCTCAGCCGGCAGAATGCCGGCTGGGAGGGCAACCTGCCGGCTGAGACAGCTCCAAGGGTAATTTTGGCCGGCTGCAGTCACCCCCATGTAGACTGTAGTGCACTGCACTAGCACTTGAGTTGAGATGGTGGAGTACAACCCATATCATAGGGTAGGTATGTACAGTACAGTACGTAGCACTGTCTACTCAGTCACAGACTGTAAAATATGCCAGGAGGGCAGCAACCGGGCAAGGTTGTGAAGTGGTACTACCGATTATCTGCATGGCCCTGACGAAGTTGGTCCGTCTTCGATTGCTTGATGTGGAAGCGGATATATGTGCGTCCTTGAGTGACATCCAGAGTCACATCCTGGCGCGTGGCATGAGTGGCAGGGTCAAACCCGGCTGGAGGCGCAGTGAATTCAGCGCATGGAAGAAATCCGAAGAAGGCGAGCACCATTGCCGCCTTGAGCATGCCCTTGTCCTGCTGGTGACGCCGTTGGTCCAGGCTGAGTTGATTGAGGAGCTTCCGCAGCAAATCAATGGTGATTGGGAGGCGAGTGCGCTGGATTGCCGGGTCAGTCGCCGTCCTCTTGATTCCTCGCATAACACGTGGCGGCAGCAATGTGTTCATCGTTGGATCTCGGAATCCGGCTTCGAGATGCATGTTGCGTACTGCGGCCATGTAGACATGAATTGTCTGTGGTTGAACCGATTGTGTGAGGTGTGCTGCGAAGCAGCTGGGCATCGTGTCTGTAGCCGGCATGGGCGTCCATCTCTGCAACGCACAGAATTGCGTAAATTTCCTTTCGCCAGTGGTGTACGTGCGCCGTGTTGTCGGGGCGATTGCCATGGCTGCCAGGTCGGCGACCTCCTGCATCAGTCCAGGAGAGGGAGGCGGATTGCAGTGTCCGGGGCTTGCTGTGCCGATGGTGCCAGCTGCTGGAATGCCTGTCAGAGTGATACGGAAATAGGGCTTGGCGCGGCTAAACCTCTTGTTGATATCCCATAAGCGCCGCGTAAATGTTCTGCCTGGTACGACGACGCTCGACGCAAAGGAGAGTTTCCCCAGGAAGTGATCGAGTTTGCGTTGCGTGGTCTGGGTGCAGCGTGACAGCTCGCTGAGGAGCTCGCGGAGGTCCGTCGGTTTGTCGTCTGGGAGACGGGCTTCCATGCGCACCGTGTCCAGCACAATTCCGAGGAAGGCAGTAATGTGTGAAAGCGAACAGTGTTCAGGGGAGTGGAAGTCGGCTTACTTTTTCTCAGTGGGCTTCGAAGTCTTCTCGTGGCTATCTGCAGGGCGCTGCCACCTGAAGCGGGTGGTGCTGGTGCAGGATGTGGCGGCATGTCCTTTGTCTTCACATGAGCTGCAGGCGTCGAGATGGTCGCAAGGTGTGCGGGAACAGGGCCTGCCGCGGTTGACGTTAAAACAGACTTGGCGGGTGCTGCCCGCCACTGATGGAAAGGGCTGCGCGTGTTGAGCTGCGGCATGTGGGCAGGCAGCGGTCGCGGCTGTTTTGGAGCGTGCATTTGGTGCATGATAGACGGGGAGAGCGGAGTAGGCGAATACTCCACAGCGTCTGATTGATCGCGTCCCAGCGCAGTGCCATGCTGGCGGTGTGTTGGCGAAATGCTCGATCATAGTTCAGCACAGGAGGCGTCTGCATGACAGACGGGGAGAGCGGAGTAGGCGAATACTCCACAGCGTCTGATTGATCACGTCCCAGCGCAGTGCCATACTGGCGGTGTGTTGGCGAAATGCTCGATCATAGTTCAGCACAGCAGACGTCGTGAACTGTTGGTTCGCAGTACAAAGTATGTGCTGGTAGCAGACGAGCTCATGAGCTCGGTCAGGACGAGCAAGAACGACGATGCCCATGTAGATCGTCCAGGCCTCCAGCCAAGGCGAGAAGTCGTTGATCGCGCGCGTGTGCTTTGCGCTGAGGTTGAGCGAGAGCTGAGCCATGTCACCGCCAGCTGTAACCAGTTGTATTGGCTCCTGTCCCTGGGAGCTGAAAATTTCCGGCAAGAGTTCCTCAAGTTCCAGTAACTCTCCGCGCTGGATTTTTTCAATCGCACGACGTGGCGGTGTGGGTAGAACCGAGGGCTTGGAGAGAACTGGAGGTCCTGGCAAAGTCGGAGGTTCCGATAGAACTGGAAGTTCCGGGGAGGATAGGTCCGGAGCTTGACGCTCGGAGCGTGGGAGCGATCTTTCGGGTGCGGAGCGCGCGCGTGGGAGAGATCGGCTTCCAGATCAGACTCAGCACTGTCTGTTCTCCAGGCGTTCCACGCGTTCGAGGAGAGGGTGGAGGGCGTTCATCTTCATAACGGCTGAGGAAATGATGTCCGGGGAGAGCAATGAGGGCTCGTCCTGCATAGAAGCGTCGGTGCCTGGAGCGGGGTCAGAAGTCTGAGCTAGCTGCTGACGGTGTGTCGGAGGCATCAGGCGCGAAGGCGCGCATGCCGTCAGTCCGCGCGTATGGCGAGGTCGAAGCCCTACCCGAGCGGCGACGGGTAACCTCGACGGCATACCCACGTCCGCGTCCACGTCAGAGCCTCGTGGCATGGTGAA